GGGGGGGTCTTTAACCTTAATTCAGGATTTTTTGCCCCCCTAACCCCCCCCCCCCCGTTTCACCAAAATGGCCATGTATAGCCTTTAGGAGGCTTATAGAGTGCTCCTGGGGGGGGGGGAATTGAGCCAAAAAAGGCCCGTTTTTCACTCATTTCTGCCCTCCCCAGCACACAGGAGCACTCTGAAAGCCTCCTAAAGGCTATACATGGCCATTTTGGTGAAACGGGGGGGGGGGTTCAGGAGGCAAAAAATGCTGTATTCAGTGTATAGGACCCACCCAGGTTTTCAGCATCTTTTTTGAGGGAAAAAGGTGCGTCTTACACTCTAAAAAAATACGGTATATCGCTGACCCACTTTATCTGACCCATTTTTCAGTAAAATTTGTTGACATTTCTTTCCTTTTTAGGTTACCACAAACATCTTGTGGGGTATTCAGCCAGCACCAATGACAGTACAAGTATGGGTAATCATACTGGCTGTCTTAGCAGGATTATTACTGTTAGCCCTTCTTGTTTTTATAATGCACAAGGTAAGTGAGTACTTAATGTCCATTTTTTGTTAATAATAAACTAAATGTTTGAAATAATTTCCGGTTTTAATCCAGTGTGAAGACTTGAAAGTTTCGTAACTATGAACTGGTGGAGTATTGGCTTTGTTAGATTGAAATAAATAGGTGGGTTCTCCTTGTGATTGACGAAGTTGATTTTTTGGAAAGCCTCCCCCCAAAAGGTAATGGGTGCAATTCAAGATGCTGTCTATTACCTCTAAAGACCTTCATAGCATAAAGCCTGGTTATTGAGGGGCAGCCTCTTTCTGATTTTTTGGCCCTTCCAGAAATATCAAGGACAGTTGAGGTACTTCAGGTCTATTCAATTGCACTATGGAGCCATGCTTTCTCCATGCCTACCCCTGCCCTGTGGAATACCTTCTCCCCAGTTCCAGTAGGACCCTACCATTCTAGTTTTCCAAAAGGCTTGAAAGATCTGGCTCTTTCCTCAAGTTACGGGCTAAAGTGTGTCTGGAGCCCAGTAATGGTGAATGTTCAGGTTTGAGGGATTCATATTTGGGGGCACCTAAAGTTATTTTGATTCTGATTGTATGCTTCTTTTATTGTGTTTTTCTGTGAGCCACTCAGGATTATTGTATGTAAGATGAGTAGTCATATACGATATTTAAAATAAATAAATGTGGGACTCTCTTCCTTTCTGTGGCTTGAAAATCGGGCTGGTGGTATAAAAGAATGTGTATTCATCCCTATTTTTATCCTGCCAACAAGAGTAAAGCAGTGGCTCCGAAGTTGGAACATATAAACTTGTAGACAAGATTGACCTGTTTAAATATTGTCAATAGACATTTGCCACAGTTTTTCCTGGGAAGAAGAGGAAGCCGAAAATTAATTGAAAAACTGTTGCTCTCTTGGTCGAGACTATTGCTTGAAGGTTCTCTGTGGAAATAATAAGAATTGGCATGCATAGATTAATATAAATATGCATGTTCTGTGTGAGAGGATTATACTAGTACGGTATATCAGATCTTTCCAACTTACCTGATACATTACCACTAATCAAAATACTAGCCTTAAGGTTTATGTGGAAAGAAAAGTTTGCTAATAATTGCTATATCTGTAGTGGAATCATCAATTAAAGGAGAGGAAGGAATAAAAAGATGTCCCAGCACAGTGTTGCTTCATGGGAGGAAATGGCAGAGGCAAGACTTATTAAAGCTTTTATTTTTAAAACAGCCGAGGTGGCACAGTGGTTAGAGTGCAGCACTACAGGCTACTTCAGCTGACTGCTAGCTGCAGTTCGGCAGTTCAAATCTCACTGGCTCAAGGTTGACTCAGCCTTCCATCCTTCTGAGGTGGGTAAANGGGGGGGGGAGCTGGAACCGGTTCTAAACAGCACTGTAGATTTGTAGAACCTCTTCTATAGAAGAGGTTAGAACTGGCAGGAACCCACCCCTGTCCTGAGTACAGATAATAGCTGATCCTAATAAAACATTTCTCTGTAATTATTCCCATGACAGAAAGAGAACCAAAACCACTCCTATTCTCTCAAGTCATCGGCGTCTTTCAATGTCATAGAGTTTCCATACAAGAACCTTTCTTTTCCTGAAGATGTCCAGAATTCTACAATAGTAAGCTGTTTGATAATCAAAAGTAGTTTTAACATTGTCAGTGTAATTAATATGAAATGAAACAATAATCTGATCAACTTCTGCTGTTTTTGCTACGTAATATTACATAGTGGCTAGCCAGATTTATACCATCTGATTACATGCTGCTTAAGTGTTTATTAAACTTGAGCTTTTTAAAGAGCTTTGGACGTGACCTAGACTGCTGTCCAATTTGGACTCACTTATTGGGGGTGGAGAAGAGCAGCTTTTTACATGCGCAATAACACTTGCTTAAATTTCCTATTTATAAAAAAAAAACTAGTTTTGACTAGGCAGTCTTATTTGATAGTGCAGTTTAGAATGGTCTTTACTTGGCAAACATGGCCTGCATTTAATTTAGTTCCATAAAAGCCAATAAAATTTAGCCAAAAAACATTGTGCTTTAAAGGGCTTCTGTTTTGATCTTTATAATACCACGCACAAACTTCCTAAGATATCCGTGACTTTCAACTGGATGGAGAATCTCAAGCAGAAGGCAAAGTAGGAGATAAGTAGCCGAAGTCTCTGTCTCCATCCCTTTGTTCAAGTTGTGTCTCCCTATCTTCTGAATTCCAATTCCTTAGTCTTTCAAACATATCCTTGTTCTCTTAAGGGCTAGAAACATGCACTTTTTATTTCTATAACATGTTTTAGAAAGCTTGAGTCTACAGATTCTGTTGCAGCACAGAGAACATCCATAAGCCAATTAAATTTTCTTCTGTGACTTTCATTGTTGAATATGTAATTCAGCCTATCAGATGGTGATGAAAATCTTGTACTATGTTATGAAGTTGCCATTTACTGTATTTTTCGGAATATAAAACACACCAGAGTATAAGTCGCACCAAGGTTTTGAAGAGACAATTTTAAAAAAAAAAGTTTTTGCACTCTGCAGACCTCCCAAAAACAGCCCTTTAAAAAAAAAAATAGGGCATGAATAGCCTTTAGGTGTCTTGTAGAGTGCTCCCGGGGGGTGGGACCCCTAAAAATGAGCAAAAAAGTCCAATTTTTCATGAAAATGAGCCTGTTTTTGTCAAAAAAAGAAAAANGGACTTCCAGTCAGCAAAGGAAAAAGGATGCTATACTAGGAGGAGACTCTATAGTGGGGGGAACCGGACTCTGGTCGGTTCCAGAATTGAATGGGGGGGAGCTTCCATTTAGGACCTTTGTGGCTCTTTGAGTGTTTAAGATTGCCGACCCCTTGTCTAGGTAAGCAAAAGTGGAACTTTAGTATTCCCTACAAGCAAAAGTAGAATTTTAAAGAAGCAGGATAGGAAGAGTATTGGACAAGACTCTTGACAATAAAAATAGTCCCCGACCTACGACTAGTTGCTTGGTGACCGTTTGAGGTTATGAAGACCCTACCTGGAGCTCCTTATGAAGCAGATTCTGACAATTTGGGAGGGGTGAGTGCAGGGATGGGTTCCAGCAGTCATTACTGCCGATTCGCTCATGGGCGCACTGCGCATGCGCTTGATGCGTGCTGCGTGCGCATGCAGTGTAATAAAATTGCTCTACACATGCGCAGAAGCAAAAAACAAGATGGCGCCGCCTATGGTGCTGTCCGTAGAACTGGTTCGGGGGCATGGCAGGCCTGGGTCGCTGCTGGTTCCAGTGAGCTAAGCTGCCAAACCACTACCGGTTCGCCCAAACTGGTCCGAACTGGTCCGAACCAGTAGGAACCCACCGCTGGGTGGGTGGGTGTTTCAGCCACATGATTGTTCTTCAGGTATTCAACAAGTGGCCCACATTTTACGACGGTTTCATCAAAAAACAGTAGCTCTTTCCTTCCAGTAGTTTTCAGCAAAAACCTGCTCCATAGCAAAAACCGTGGATTCACTTAACCAACAACCATAGGGTTTGCTTAACAACGATCATAAGGTCATAAAATCAAGCAGGTCATGTGACTGTGGCCATTATGACTTACGACCGTAATGGGCAGTTTCCATTACAGTCGTAACACAAGGACTACCTGCACTGTGGACAGCTAAGAAAATGAATCAATGACTCATTGAACAAATCAAACCAGAATTCTCAGTCAAGACCCAAAAAACAGTTATAAAAAGTTATAGCAATAGCACTTATATACTGCCTTTATAGAGACTTCTCTAAGTGGTTTACAAAGTCAACATATTCCCCCCCCCCTCAAACAATCTGACTCCTCATTTTACCGACCTCGGAAGGATGGAAGGCTGAGTCAACTTGGAGCCGATCAGGATCGAACTCCTGACAGTGGGCAGAGTCAGCCTGCAAATACTGCATTCTAATCACTATGCCACCACGACTTTATTATCCTACTTTGGACACATTATGTGAAGACCCAGATCTCTGGAAGAAGTGCCATCGCTGGGAAAGGTGGAAGGAAAGAGAAGGAGAAGGACGACCAGCAGAAGGTCGATGGACTCAGTCAGAGAGCAGATGCGTGGATCGAGTCTCCCACCAATGGTTGAGATTTGAAAGAACAGGTTAGGGAATAGATCTTCATGGAGAAGATCTATGTAGTTGCTAGGAGTCAACAACAATTTGATGGCACTTATATAATCAATCAAACACTCTTGGTAAGGTAAAAGCTGCCCAGGAATTCTGGGAGTTGAAGTCCACAAGTCTTAAAGTTCCCAAGTTTGGATACCCCTGATTTAGATAATGCTTGCCTGGACACAGTGATTCCAACCACACGTGCAAGATACTCTTATCAGAATATAAGCAATAAAGAAGGTTTTATCCAACAGTCTTCTCATAGGAGGAAGGAAATGTTTCAAGAAACAGACTGATTTGTGCCAATCACAATGTGACCTCCCCATCCGTTGCTAAATATCATGATTTCCCACACCCCTGCTGCCCCTCCCACTCCGCAAGTTGTTTCTCAGACAAATAATTGAAGTGGGAGGATTAAAATCCCTCCGGAACACAGAAAGAAGTCAGTGTGGATACCTGAAACCCAAACAATTATAAAGCTGCTCCCAGGGAAACTGGGCCTCAACAACAACAGCTCTCTGTGGCATACAATTATCCCCATGGCAAAATGACTTTGCCTAACTGGAATGGAAAGTTCGCTCTTTTCAGGCAAACAGTTTGCGAGATAAATTTGCCGCAGCTTTCCCTGGCCGGATTTCGGATGAAATGTCATCTCTTTCTAAGGATTTTTTGGCTTAAGAGAATCCATAGGCCTTCTTAACAATGCCAATGCGGGGAGTAAAAATACGCTCCTCGTTGCTGAATTAGCAACGATTATATAGACCCGAGATAGTGAATCTATGGCACACAGAGCCCTCTCATGCGGGCACGCAAGCCGTCGCCCCAGCTCAGCTCCACTGTGCAAGCGTGCACCTCCCGCTAGCCAGTTGATTTCAAGATCTCTGCTGTGCATGCGCAGTG